CTGCTGTGTTTTCTGAATCACTCAATAAATTTGTTCTCCAGTGTGTCTGTGTTTGAGTGCTTTGAATGACCACAACAACACAACAACACATCATGTTAAACAAATACACCTGATTTAATGACTAACCCACCAAAACCCTAAATGACTGCAGATTAACTCTGATGATGTGTAGTAGCTCAGCTTGGTAAGTGAATAACTAAACTCCATGTTGACCTATAATTAGCTGCAACATAATGAAATGACACATTTCAGTACAAACACCGAATGAGACTGTTGTGTCTGTACCTGCAGCTCCCGTCTTCACCTCAGAGTAAACAGCACTCTGCTCTGGTTTATGATGCTTCCCTGTGAAGATGATCAGAGTATTGGACATAAGGAAATAACTAACTCTTATTTTTTTTAAAAATGTTTATTTATTGTATTCTTACATTACATTTACATTTATTAATTTTAAACGGCACATGTTTTATGTACTTACGCTTCTTTTCAAAGTTTTTAAGTTCAATAAGAGCGTATGTGACATCTTGATGGTCATCTGATCCTGAAATGTTCATATTTTAGTTACAGGATTGTAAACATTTCACATGGAAATAATTTTATTAAATCAAAAATAAATTTCTTCTCTAAATTCTCTGTGTTTTTCAACAAATATACTGCACCATTTCTGTTGTCTTCAACCGGCGTAACTGAGTCATAGATGTGATTGGTACCTAAAAAAAGACGAACCAGGGTCACATTAATCATTTTAATAAAAACATAAAGAAGAGATTAAATATTTCTGTTTTTATCAAAACCAGGACTATAAGATATTTTCAAACTACGATCCTATAATGTTGTTACTGTTTGTGTTGTTATGATATGAAACAACAACATTGGATTCTTTCAGTCGACTTAAAGACACAATCAGGTTGTAAAATCCTGTTTATTTCTCATTTTATGTTCATGTGTCATTTGGCTGTTTGGATGTTTGTCCAACTGGATTTTGATAAATGTTCTTTGAAAAACTGCTGAACACAAATCGAACCTAAAAACTGTTCATGTTAATGAAGACTGAATGAAAAGTCCATATTAATAATGATAATATTGTTTAAATGGTTTAAATACTGACCAGGATGAACAGAGTCGTACTCATGAGTTTCATTCTGGTTGACTCCATGATTTGTGGAGGAGCCCGGACTGTGACTCTCAGACTGGATCGACCTAAAACAGGAAATAAACACAATAAACTCAAAAGTAACTGATGTTTGTTTAAAATAATATTAAAAAGTATTTTACCAACCTGGTGAAGCAGGAATCTGTGAAAGAGACAAATGTTATTACACATGTTTGTCATGTATAAATTGTTCCACTGATATTTTGTGTCATGAGATCAGAATACATGTATATGTGTGAATAATTAAAGTGTATGTAGTAAATAAACTCT